GCGGTTATTTGTGGGGCTCCCTTTTCATCCAGTTTAGGGTACTGCTCTCATCGCGTTTCTATGCCATCAGTCAGAAGTGCCTTTTTTAGAGCCAGGCCTGATAGCAGCCATGTGAGTAGCTCGTCATGTACCTTCACCCAGAATGGTACTCATATATCAGCATCGGCAAAAATAGGATTAATGATCAGACCGACGCTCGAACTCGTGGCGTCTAGGCTTCGAGTCCAACGCTCTACCCTGGCAGAAGATTCCCGATCTAAAATTATCATTTAGAATAACAAGCAGAGTCCAGTTCATACCTAAGATTTTATTATCATCATTATCATCAGTCTTTGTCGATCCACTGTTGAATGAAAGCGTTCCCAAAACTTAGCCACAGATTTCTGCATTTGCCATTTTCATCAATCATAATCCAGCGAACTTTTTCAGCTCGTCTTTCCATCTATCTTTCCTTCCTACGGGCCATTTGCTCTTTCCTTGAAGCGAGTTTAATGTCTCTCTGATTCAGCGGGGGTCGGTTCTTCCTGTAACGAGTCTTCTGCATTGCCACTTTACCTTATTCTTCCTTCACTCATACGATCAGACATCGCAGACGTATATTTGTGCTCTTATCTATTCAATCATCTTCCTATCTTTTCTTGTTATTCACAACATACAGATTTCCGTTACGCAGTTAACGACTGGTCATGATTTATTATTTGACGTTACTTTAAATAGAATATACTAAATTTTGCTGCCACTTACTGCGATTTCTACATTAGTGAGCGTTTACCAACTCAAATAGCCGCTTTTGCTTTCAACTGTGTCTAACCAATAGTAACATGTTTATAGTAAAAGTTTAAATGTCTTTCTTGCGAATCGTGTACTCGTTTGGTAGATCACAGCTGAAACTACAATGTTCATCACATAAGACATTAGAAAAATACGCACGCGAAGCTAGAGATATATTCTATTGTTCCACAAATCATATTCCATAATGCAAAAATTATCTGTAAATTTATAAGAAAAGTTTAGCTATTATTAAAAGATACAACCTGATTTGTAATTCAATCATAAAATAACGTGCTATTTACGGAAGGTAAATTATCAAATCATTTCTCTTCCAATGACAGATTTTCCAGAACCCAAAACTGCAACAATGCAATTAATTTATTATCCCTGTGGAACTTTTCAAAGAAAGCCTTGAAAAACAGTCCTTCGACATGAACCCTGGCCTAAATGCCTAGTTCCCTTTAAAGCTGTTGAAGACGTTGTCCGCTGCTTCAGTAAAACTGAGAAACCTTTCGACTTTCTCATAGGACTTTCCTAGTAAAGCATTAAGCTTGTAATTGAGAGAGAAGGTAACTGCAGTCTTCCCCTTAATGTGTTGAAAATTAAATCAGACAACTATGATATAGACGAATGGCTAAGAACTAGAAAAAAATACCATCTATGTGTACCTCGACCGTCAGGTGGACTACATGAACTACTTAAAGTGGCAATCACCAGAAGAAAAACGGCTGCATTGGCTGACTGTACCCTATTAAAACATCGCTACTGAACGGTGAACTGTCCTTGAGGCGAAGAAATAATTATTCTCTTCAACTGTCCTAGTCGCCATAATTTACGGCGCTAAATGTTTGTCTATTATTATAATTAAGGAGAACACACTGATGGTCATCCAAAGAGCGATGGAGCGTGGATATGCATGGTATCCGTCCCTCCAGAATCACGTTCCGACTGTACAGTTTCGAAAACGGGCTGGATTCACATACGTGATTTCTGCGTTTTAAGAAGCCAAGAGAATTTGGACAGGATATGCGACTCGCCTGAGAGACAATCAGTGGGCGCGAAGAAATAAAAGCTGGGTTCCACTGGGCCACAAAGGCCCACTCGGACATCCAACAACACGCTGGCGCGATCTGATGGCCAAATTACTTGATCAAAGAGGAGGCACATGACAGGAAACAGAGAATATTGAAGGAACGTCAATTCGTGGCGCATTAAATGCATACAATTCGGATAACGGACAACTTTCATATGACAAATTTTATAGTAATTTTGCCAACACGAATAAATATAACTTTAAATTGTCATAGCCATAAAAAATATACAGTCACTGATATTACGACCAAAAAGAGATCAGAAACTGCAATAAAAAGCGATAGAATAAAATTATATTCATGCAATAACAATAGTTATACCATTAAATTCATTATTGAAAATCGTACATGATTTCTTTATGCGTGAGGTGATATAATCTTTAGGTACGTCACAAACGGGAAGACAACGCATAAAATAGTCTTTAATTAGGGACATCTGACGTTTCGGACCAAGCTCGATCCGTCTTCAGAGTACAATGACTATTTTATGCGCTGTCTTCCCGTTTGTGACTTACCTAAGATTATACTAAATTCATTAATAACATAATACGTCGAAAGAATTACTGAGTTTTAAATTCAACTGAAACGGAAACATCGAAAGACAGAAGCATAAACTTAGCACTTTCATGCAGGAGATTAATTCCCTGGTTCCCGTGTTGCTTATGATCCTATTCCGCAAGTAGCAAACGTGTATGTCATAGAGAAAAGAAGAAAGGAACACAAGCGCAACTTTACGAGATGTAACAATGCTGATTTAAGAGAATAGGCAATACCCAACAAGGGAGGAGGTAAGAGGCAAACAAAGACTCTTCTAATAATCAAAGCATATTGCGATAATAGCTCTGTGATTGTGCAATACCAGTACATATGAAGCACCAAATGATTGCCAGTACACCAGCGCAATCTCTACCGAAAAGAACTTCAGAATAAGCAAGATCAACAAAGCTCTCTTCATCGATGCTAACAGATGTATGAAGAGAGACAACTGCACGAACTTAAGCAATATATGGACGGCAACTATTAATAGAAAGCTGTCAACATTAATCACTGTTCGGCCCCAACGAATTTACCTTTACCAAATCTGTTTTAATCATTGTTCCATCACAACGAGCTAAAAATTTCTCGCAACATAGGTAATTTCTTTATTCAGATATTCTATATGTAGAGCAATACTGTAAGAAACATAAATGCCAAATAATAGCATAGTAATATAAAAAATAAACCGTATTTATGACTTCGGAAAGTCATTTTGGCTTTATACCATGTACTTTATGATATTGGTAATATTTCGATACAGCGGTTTTAGGCAAAAGACTGAAGTAAATGCCAAAATACTCTTAACAACAAATGGCCTCCTTCAAAATTGGTTTATACTTTTGCTTGATTGAAAAATCACGATTAATATTTAAAAGAATCTTAACATAATCGACTTTAACCGTATGTCCGTGGTCATGTATGAGCAAACAAGACCTCAGGTCATGGAGTTCGTTCCTCACACCTCCAATTCCTGCAGTTCTCTTTTCTCCTTTAAAGATGACCATACCATCGTAGTGATCCTTTATCTGGGTAAAAGCCTTTCCTCGCCTTTGCCGTAAACTTCTGTGTTCTGTAATTCTTATCCGTTTTCATCCATCGAACATCTTCAGCTTATCCGGTCATCGACCTTGAAATCTTTCAAAGGGTTGTTTACTCTCTCTTTGAACCCAGCTGAAGGGGTTGAGAAATGGTCGGTTCTTTTGGCGACAAGTCTTGCCCATTAAGGCTTCAGCTGTTTCACTCGTACAATTACATTTCACCCCTGTTTGTGATGTTACCTATTCGTTCATGTCATCAGTAAGGATATAAAAGCGTTAAGCGTTACACGTCATGCTGATTTTTAATCAGCTATCGGACAGGTCAAAACGAATCCAAAACGTAATGCCAACATGGTCATAAATCTCGTAAATATTTTTACGACCGCACCGAAGCACATGCTGTCCCCATTATTCGCATGTCACTGATTTGATTGATTCACAGTGAAACACAGTGCGTACAGATTACTTCTTCAAGGGAATTAACTGTCCAGTTTCGATGACTATCCTATCTTATTTGGGTCGTGGAGGCAGCATCTTCAGACAGTGTTTCAAACGTTGCCAATTATGTGCCAGCCTATGAGTTTCTGCAGAAAATAACCCGACTCTAGAACAACGCCAGTCTTTGAATTCTTTGAACAGGAAATTCTTTGTCTTCATTAGGGCGGTTGAGCAATTAGTAATTAACACAACTTCCTTTCTGAAAGCATACGCAAAACGTGCCCAAACCATCGCACTTGTGATTGATTACTCATGAATCAGCCATTAATAAAAAATTTACTATGATACAGTAACCCTGTACTACTAAAATGCAAAGCCAAACTACAACGACCCATTGCACCCCATTGTGTTCGTAAATAAAAAAGGATTAAACAGGTATAAACACACTGTTCTCCATATGAATCTGAGGTAAACTAAAGGTGGGTTGTCATCAAACGACTACTTGGCAGGTCTGTTAGCAAAATCAATTATCATGCTGCTAATCGATTGTCCAACATAACCTGAAGTTAAGCGCTATATTACTAACCTGTTTTGCTTAATTATGATATTTTAATTTCAATCAAAAATTTAGCCTCAAATAAGACCCTGCCGATGCAAATTTATGACAGAACGTATTCCCCGTTCAACCTTAAGTTATCACGCTAAATGGAATGAAAACTTCGAAGAAACAAATGCTTTTAAAATGGATGAAATTACGTAAGCTAACTTTACCATGTTTTCCGTTGAAGTTCGGAGAAAATGCGATGCAAAATCAATGCAACAACGCTTTTATTATGTCACCACAGACTAAGATCAATAAAATAGTAAAACACGAGGGATAACAAGAGATCAAAAGTTTTAACATGTAAGGACTAAGTACGGATCGAAGAAGAACAAATGTCGCTTTACCTTGTCTACGTTTTCGTATATTCCGGAGAGTGCACACGAATTCTGCAGAACCGAGTCAGCAGTTTGCTGGAGAGTGGAGATCGAAGTTCCTGCAAAACTGAACACTGTCGTCATGATCAATGCAGCACGAAAAAAATACAGAATGGCAGTACGATCCTTGTCAAGTTGAGGAGGATTCTCAACTGGGCTGCAGCGGTTTCGACGTGATATTTATCCGTTGCTCGAGGCCGAACCTGAAATAGCACTGCCCTTTGTATTCAGCAATGACCACATTCTTGTCGATGCGAAATCCTCGCAGTCCAGAACAAATCTCCTTTTGCATGATGTCGGCCAGGTTGCCCTCGATCACGGTCACTAGCGAGTTGTTGTCCCGGAGGTTTGTCACAGACACAATTACGCGTCCGTGCATACGAGTTTCCATCGTGAAGTTCGAAGAGCAATGAGCCTCGGTCATGATCAGCTCGGCGGTCGTCTCGGTCATCGGCGGTACTCGAAGAGCGCTGTCCACGCCCCATGTCATTTCCTCCTCGACAGTATCCTCGTCGATATTGGCCAGAGTAATCTCTCGCTTGAAGCCAGCATTTGCCTCAAGCACCTCGCATGGAGTGGCCAGTTTCAGGCCGAACTCCGCTCCCCTGGTCAGACCTTGCTCGATGATGACCGTGCATGCCGATCGCGTGACGCGCTCTGCCTTAAACGAGTATTCCTGCTCCTGGTTGGTCTTGTTTACGAAGTAAGTGCGGAAGAGCAGTTGCGGCTGAACCTGGCATCGAGGATCATGTCGCTTCTTGAACGACGGAATTCCGCTGTATGTTGGGCTGCCATAGTGGAATTTGGCTTGCTTCCAGTTGATGGTGAACTCGAGGAAGTCCTTCGGAATGCGTGCCTGTTCTTTGGTCTTCGTGATGTCGAAGATCTGCCTCGCCCAACGCAAAATCAACGCCTCCAGGTCGAAGACGTTTTCGCTGTTCGGCTTTGACTTCGGAGAAGTGGAATTTGAGCTGCCAGGCAGAACCATGGTCCAAGAACTCACTGGCCACCAGACAGGCAGTCGTTTTTCTCCTGCGTTTTGTAACTTGTTCCTAAAATGACTCCCACTTCATCGCTCTCACATCATACAACACACGCACATGGTAGGTCGTCCCTGAAACGCCGATGGATAACCTGCCGTGGCGCACTCAGAAATAATTATTCATAATAAACACAAACCTGTTTGTGCGCAACGGTCGCGCCGAATCAAGTCACCTGCAAGTCAAGCGACAGAAAGTCGCCGTCGGCCCGTTCGACAAAGACAGGTTCACCGTTCTTCTGCCCCTTTAACGGAATCGCAGAAACTAGACGTGTCGCTCGCAAAGGTGCTTAAGTCAAGTGAGCAATCACCATTCGTACAGAACTAGAAAGTGTGCTTTTTTGGCCACTTTACATGCCTTCGGCGTCAACCGTCCACAGAAACGTGATGCAGTGAAGACAAAAACCAACGCTGAACAAGCCCGACGTTTGTTCGCACGATTACGCACTGCGAGTTTTCGGTTTATGACCTACGGAGGCGAAAACGTTCCCCCTTTCTCCCAATTTGCCAAGTGCTGAAGGTAAAGCTTGCTTCGAAATCATGGGTCAAAGATTACTGCAGTAGCGTTAGTACGGTACTTCGGGAAACTCCACAGCAGAAGCGACCTCCTCTTAAAAGGGTTCAAGAGTCGTAACAAATTAAGCAAAACGGAGTTTAAGGTTGCTCCCTGAAAACAGATTGAGTATGATCCGATGCGTTAGAGAATATGTGTAATTGAACTTGTCATGCCGACTCACTTGACAAACAATTTCGGCATTTATCATTGCACCATAGCTACAACATGAAGCGGTTTCAAGACAGTCCTAGGGCAATTTTACCATACATACCAAACCTATCTCATTCACTAAAAAGATACCTCAACGTCATGAGGCATAGGATTTATTACAAGGACAGAATGCGTTTAAGGATGCTGCAAGTAGCATATCATGTGGAGAAGCTGAATATGGTTTCATGTGTCGAGTGTGAAGACTGCGATAAAATACACGTTAGAAACAAATACCGGAAATTCAATATTCGAATTATAGAACATAACCAAGCCGTTAACCCAGCCGCTGCCGGCCCCACGTCCGGATGAGAATGCAGGAGGGTAGGAGACGGTGGCGAAGTCTCCGCAAAACTTAACTACCTGCCGCTCATGGTATTTCCGTCATTGAACATTATACCGGCTCGGTCATCGCTCGAATTACCAAGGCCGCGAAAGGTGGCGATCAGAACTTGCTCACCGCCTTCTGCCAGCCGGGGGAGTAGCAACACAACAACGGCTGACGAAGACCAACAGAACGACGACGAAGATACCAGTCAGCAACGGCGTCGCTACCCGTTCTGAACGGAGGAGGCACACAGCGCGATGCCAATATAACACGTCAAAAAATTCTCCATGGGGATGACACCGACACCGGGAGCTTACAGTCGGAAATTGGAATCTGTCCTCATTCAGAGAGAAAGGACAAGAGTTAGTTGATGAGGCCATAAAGCACTAACTTGACTCGACAGAGTGGACTTCAGTCAACGAATCGCCAAAGTTCTAGAATTCTGAACTTTTACGGGTAGAACTTCTGCCATTCTATTCAGATGTCGAAATCACGACGAGCGATCAGGACGGAGTTGGTGTTCTGGTAGAACCCAACCTCGCAGATAGAATCAATGAATAGAAGCTTGTCGGAGGAACAGTGGCAATCATTCGACTGAAACTATAACAGGCTAAATCGTTAACCCTGTTACAGGTTTATGCACCAATGTGGAGAGGGAATATGAGTTCTTCCTTGAGGAAGTGGAGTGCACTCCCTACGAAGTGCCGACTACGGAGTCCTTCACTGTAATGGATGATTTTAATGCGCATGTCAGAGCGTAGACTGAAATGTGGAAAGGCGTCAATGGCAAGAAATTGTTGCGACCTTGTATGAACAACGTCCTGTGTTATAAACACCTTCTTGGAGCATCGCAACGTGCAATCCTATACCTGGTATAGGAAACCTTGTGCACAGAAGTCGATGACTTATTTGATTATGTGACTTACGACGCTCTGTAATGGATCTTCGCGTTAAGAGAGGAACAGAACTGTCAAATGATCATCGTTGGTATCCCTTTGCCGTAAACAATCGATCACCATACGAAGACCTCGTGGAAAAGCAATAAAAAATCTACTGAGTAAATAAATGTAATGTTAAACATTATCTTCTGCGGATGGAGGGCAAAACATGCTAACAGTATTGTACAACAGTTTGAACAGATTCTGACGTGGAAATCGAGTGGCAACTCTTTAAGGCCTACTTGGGGCTGTCACCGAATCCTGCGGAATTCCTAGTGGACACCAGAAGTTCAACTGGCTGTCAGCGACCAGGCCACATTCAAGGGTTGGTTTGGAAGCAAAGAGCTTTCAACTCGAATGCAGTACGCAGAAGCGCAAAAGGCGGCGGCAGTGGTCAAAGCGAAAGCTGATTCATTGAAAAAGTGAGGTGGTCGAGTCAAATTTTAAGACGGCAAACATGGCATTATGGAAGAACTCCCGCCGACTCCATGATGAAAAGAAAGACAGTCTGAGAGTCCTGAAGGAGATAAGCGGGTGATTTCTTACCAATGAAGAGGATATACTTCCAGGAACTCGGTTAATCCCGTGCAGATGCAGGAAGACTCGTTTGAAAAGCAACAGAAAACAAATATTAGCCTTTCATTAGACGAAGCCACAGAGCCGTAGAAGGTCTCAAAAGTGTTTAGTTTCTGGAACCGATGAAATGTGCCTTAAGATCCTTAAAACTAGGTAAACACTGCATGCTGTGGCTAACACGTGTCTGTCCAACTACGATCATTACGGATAATACACTGTGAGAAGAGCATTCATTTCTCTCTATGAAGAACAAGGGAAAATATTTTTACTGTTAGAACAGAACTGGAACTCTCAGCTACTATCGGATCATAAGAAAGAACAGTATCATATCAAATGATCTCTTAACAAAGAACTTTGGTTGTACTGTAATATAATATCCGATTTAAGCACGTTCTATCGTACCATAAAGTCAGCGCTGATATGCCACCCCTCAGTTTAGGTGCTGTCTACCGTCCATGAGGTAAAAAAGTATTTTAGGAAGACTGAAATGATTTTGTACAGTAACTGAATGCGCTTATACACGTAAATAAAATGCAATTTCCTTCAGTTTTATTTGCCCGCCTGCTTTATCCAATGGTGGCATTACCTCGCCTTGGAAATCAGCCCAGGAAACTTCCGGCGGAGGACCGAGAACTATCGGAAACTGTTGCTGAAGTTGCTGCTTCCTCAATCGATAGGGATAAAAGGCGCTAGAAGTGAACAGATGGACAAAATTTGTCTTACTGCGTGTCTCCTCGGGATTCGCTTCAAGCAACCTGTACAACCGAAAAATCCCGCCGCTATTTTGCACGTCGTTAGCGTTCATTAGTCGATCGGTTCTTAAATTCCCATAATTGCAATGCATCAGTCGCTGACGGAGACCAGCTTTTTCATAGCATATACAAGCTTTCTACTAAGCTATGGTTCCGCACAATGTTTGATTGTAATTCTTCAGGCATTCTGCTAGATTATTCTCGAGGTGACGGTGAGTCATCAAGACAACTGCGTAGGGTTTTAGCGATTACACGATCAAACCAGCTGTCGGAATCGGAAGAGCAATCGGCGAGTTGAGAGGGAAGTGAAAGCGTAAGAGCCTCACGGCGCCAATTTTCCGGCTACGACGCGTGATGAATAGATGGCATAAGATCAATCGGAGGTTGAGATATGACCAGGGGGACCAGTGAAACCGTTTACGAGGCGACTGCGGCTACTCACTTCTTACATCATGTCCCCGGGGAGGTTCATCGTTTAGAAACTCGATTCGACGATTGAGCTGTTTTCCGTCGGAACCAAATTCGACAGAGGGAAGGAAAGCCATGCCATGGTCGACACAAATATCGTCCATGCATATGCGTACTAACGTATATGTAAAAGT